CCCACATTCTCTCCTTCTCATCATAACTATCACCATCGTCATCATCACTCACGTTCGCTCGCACACCTAACTGGAGTCAATGTTGGGTTCCTCAGACTTGAACCTTGAGGAAGTCTCAGGCGGGAGCCCACTCCCTATGGGGCCCGCACTTCATGTTCTAATCCGAACGGGTCATCCGAATCACGTAATGGTCGCCATTTTAGGGCTCCTCAGGCTTGAACATTAGAGGAAGTCTCAGGCGGGAGCCCCCTCCCGATGGGGCCCGCACTTCGTGTTCGAATCCGAGCGGGTCATCCAAATCTTGTAAGTGTCGTCACTTTTGCGCTCCTCAGGCTGGAGAATTGGGGACGTCTCTGGCCGGAGCCCCCATCCCGATGGGGCCCGCACTTCATGTTCTAATCCGAGCGGGCCATCTAAATCTTGTAACTGTCGTCATTCTGGGGCTCCTTAGGCTTGATGAACATTGAGGAATCTCAGACGGGAACCCCGTTTGTGAATGAATATTGATGAAGTTTTACGCGGGAGCCCCCTCTCTATGGGGTCAGCGTTTCATGTTTGATCCCGAGCGGGCAATTCAGATCATGTAACTGTCGTCGCTGTTGGGCTTCTTCCTCAGGCCTGATGAATCTTGAGGAAGTCTCAGGCGGGAACCCCCTTCTTAGGGGGCCTGCACTTCATGGTCGAACCCGAGCGGGTAGTCCAAATTACGCAACTGTCGCCACTCTAGGGCTCGTCAGGCCTGAATATTGAGGAAGTCTCAGTCGGGAGCCCCCTCCCGATGGGGCCCGCACTTCGAGTTCGAATCCGAGCGGGTCATCCAAATTCCGTAATTGTCGTCGCGCGTGGGCTCCTCAGACTTGGGTTTTGAGGGCGTCTCAGGCGGGAGCCCCTTCCCGATGGGGCCCGGACTTCATGTTCTAATTCGAGCGGGTCATCCAAATCTTGTAAGTGTCGTCACTTTTGCGCTCCTCAGGCCTGAACATAAAGGAAGTCTCACACGGGAGCCCCGTCTGTGAGTGACTATTGATGAAGTTTTACGTGGGAGCCTGCTCCCGATGGGATCCGCACTTCACGTTCTAAGCCGGGCGGGCCATCCAAATCATGCAATTGTCGTCAATGCTGGGCTTCTCGGGCTTGAATATTGAGGAAGTCTCATGCGGGAGCCCACTCCCTATTGTGCTCGCACTTCTTGTTTCAATCCGAGCGGAACATCCAACCAATGTAATTGTCGTCACGTTTGAGTTCTTCAAGCCTGAACCGTGAGGAAGTCTCAGGCGGGAGTCCCCTCCCGATGGGTCCCGCACTTCGTGTTTCAATTCGAGCGGGTCATCCCAATCCTTTAGCCGTCGTCCCTTTTTTGGCTCCTCAGGCCTGAGTCTTGAGGATATCTCAGTCGGGAGCCCCCTCCCGATGGGGCCCGCACTTCGTGTTCGAATCTGAGCGGGTCATCCAAATCTTGTAAGTGTCGTCACTTTGGGGCTTTCAGGCCTGAACATAGAGGAAGTCTCAGACGGGAGTCTCGTCTGTGCCTGAATATTGAGGACTTCTCTGGCGGGGGCCCCCTCCCGATGGTGCATTTCATGGTTTAATCCCGAGCAGGTCATCCAAATCCTTTAAGTGTCGTCATTTCTTTGCTCAGCACACATGAATCTTGAGGAGGTCTCAGGGGGTAATCCCCTTCCTATGGGGCCGCACTTCGTGTTCTAATCCGAGCTGGTGATCCAAATCCTCTTTCGGTCGTCACATGGTGGCTCCTCAGGCCTCCAAGGAGGAGGTGTATGAGAAGGACGATCATGAGGCCTCTAAGAAGGATAATGGTACATGAGGAACCATGGCGAGAAGGATCATGATGAGGAGGAGGAGGAGGAGGACGCAGAAGCGGGAGGAGGTCTTGCGCCAGTCGAAGAGGAAAAGGGCGAGGGCCAAGCTAAATAGATTCCCATTTGAGGTCCTACCGCCGGAGTAATCGAATTCTTCTTTACTTTTGACATGCCCCCTCTGCCAGGTCGGCGACGCGTAGGGAATCTTCGTCGTCGTCGTCGGCTACCGTTGTCGGCTACGGTGGGTCCTCGCAGCTGCCTTCGGGGCGACATGGTTACATTTTTTCAATCCACCCCACCCCTGCCGAGGACACGATGTCAGGGAGTCGGCAGGGCCCGCCAACGCCCACCATCTTGTCGGACCCCCGTACATTTGGCCAAAACGTGTCGGGAATATGTGGTAACTCATTTTCTGTTTTAGTCACCCACCCCTTCGCGAACCGCCGCGCGCTCGGGGAATGCGCCCAGGCCGACCGGTCGTTGTATTCTTCATGGGCCCACCCTAGGCCAGAGGGATGTCGGGAAGGTTCGATTTGGGGGGAAGAGAGGGAGGAGCAGGAGAAGGTGGTGGAGGAGCAGGAGGAGGAGGAGGAGGAAGAGAAAGTAAGAGGATGAGGAGGAGGACGCGAAGGAGGATAATATGGAGCATGAGTAGGGAAGGTCGGAGGAGCGGGAGGGAGGGAGGGGAAGGATTCGGGGAATGAGGGAGAAGGGGGGACACATAGGATGATGAATAACAGAGGGAGAGAGAGAAATAACAAAACAAAAAGATACAGGGAGAGAAATAATAAGTTAACGAGAGAGGAGGTTAACGTGGAAACAAGTCGAGGGATATTATATGTATGAAGAGTTGGAAAAGTATGGGGGAGGAGGGTACGTATGATGTGAACGAGGGAAGGGGATTCTGAGGATCATGTGGAAGGTGCTGTTTGGGATGAGGTGAGGAACGATAATGAGAAAGAAAGGGGGATGAATATGATGGTGAGCGCAAGGAGAGTGGAGGTGAACAAGGGACGATGCTGAGGAGGCGAACGTGGGGAGGAGGAGGAGGGGGGGAGCCAAGTTAGGTGCGCTCGCGTCAACATCTGACATCCTACCCCTCCCGCCCATCCCTTACAATGGCACTGATTTTCTCTATCCGCGGACGCGTGTCGTAGCGGACCTGTGGCTCCGCGCGCGTTTGCGTAGTGGGTGGTGTTGCGCGTGCGTGCGTGCGTGTGTGCGTGGTTGTGGTTGTTGTGGTGGTGGTGTATGTGTGTGTGTGCGTGTGTGCGCGTGTGCTGTGGTGTGACGTGGTGTGGCGTCTTGGTGGTTTGGTGGTGGGCCAGGTGCGTACCTGCGTGATGGCGGTGGTGGTGGTGGCGGTGGTGGTGTGTGTGGGTGCGTGTGCGTGTGTGTGTGTGTGTGTGCGTGTGTGTGTGTGTGTGTGTGTGTGCGTGTGTGCGTGCGTGTGCGTGCGTGCGTGCGTGCGTGCGTGCGTGCGTGCGTGCGTGCGTGTGTGCGTGCGTGTGTGTGTGTGTGTGTGTGTGGTGTAGCGGTGTATATGCGCGTGCGTGCGTGCGTGCGTTGGTGGGTGGGAGTGGCGGTGGGTGTGCGTGCGGCGGGGCGGGGCGTGGTGCGGCGCGGTGGTGGCGGGCGGATGGGCGCGCGAGAAAGAGGCCCGCGCTGGGGCGATAACGCCATCCTGAACGACGGAGGCAAAACGCCGATCCGAAAATGAGGCCCACGCTGCAGCGGGAGCACGATTCGGAACGATTCGGGAGCAGAAATGAGGCCGACGCCTCAGCGAGAGCAGCATTTTGAATTATGCTAACGGAGTTCCCCACATAAAGAGATTAACGGTTTCGTGGGACCCATTTTCTTGATGCCCTCCACGCTTTGGCGGGGCCCCGCTGGAAGGGGGGAGGGCTAATGCTTTCCGCGACCCTCCTCGTTCAAGCGCGGCCTCTCTGGAGGAGTGGAGGGGGGACACGAAACTGTGTAAACAGCATGTTTTCCGATGCCCTCCAGGAAGGGGCCCGAAACCATGTAAATAGTATGGTATTCCGATACCCTCCTCGCTCAGGCGGGGCCTCCCTGCAGGGGTGGGAGGGGCACGAAACCATGTAAATAGTATGGTTTTCGGATACCCTCCTCGCTCAGGCGGGGCCTCCCTGGAGGGTGGGAGGGGCACGAAACCATGTAAATAGTATGGTTTTCGGATACCCTCCTCGCTCAGGCGGGGCCTCCCTGGAGGGTGGGAGGGGCACGAAACCATGTAAATAGTATGGTTTTCCGATACCCTCCTCGCTCAGGCGGGGCCTCCCTGGAGGGGTGGGAGGGGCACGAAACCATGTAAATAGTATGGTTTTGGATACCCTCCTCGCTCAGGCGGGGCCTCCCTGGAGAGGTGGGAGGGGCACGAAACCATGTAAATAGTATGGTTTTCGGATACCCTCCTCGCTCAGGGGCACGAAACCGGGGCCTCCCTGGAGAGGTGGGATGGGGCACGAAACCATGTAAATAGTATGGTTTTCGGATACCCTCCTCGCTCAGGCGGGGCCTCCCTGCAGGGGTGGGAGGGGCAAGAAACCATGTAAATAGTATGGTTTTCGGATACCCTCCTCGCTTAGGCGGGGCCTCCCTGGAGAGGCGGGAGGGGCACGAAACCATGTAAATAGTATGGTATTCCGATGCCCTCCTCGCTCAGGCGGGGCCTCCCTGGAGGTGTGGGAGTGGCACGAAACCATGTAAATAGTATGGTATTCCGATGCCCTCCTCGCTCAGGCGGGGCCTCCCTGGAAGGGTGGGAGGGGCACGAAACCATGTACATAGTATGGTATGCTATGGTACGCCATGGTATGGTATGGTACGTGTGGTATGGTATGGTATGGTATGGTATGGTATGTGTGGTAGGAACTATGGTATGGTATGGTGTGTGTGGTGGGAATAGTATTGTGCTGTATGGAAGATGGAGCGGGAGGTGGGTGGGAAGGAGAGGGTGTTCTGGGAAAACAAGAACCCCACTCAGGATGTGGGGAAAAAAACGCAGGCGAAAGCCCAACTCCGGCGAATCGTGTGTGTTAAAAACAATACGCGGGGGGGGGGGGGGGGGGGGGGCGAATACGCAAAAGACGTCATCAGGGGAAGAGGGAGAGTAGTATTCATATTGGGTAATTGTAGAGGGGGAAGGCAGCGGAGGACCCCCCCAGCCGCTTACCAGAGCGGGTGTGCGCTCGCGCGGTTTTCCTGGAGCGCAACGACCTCTCGTTCCACGTCGTGCGGTGCCCGGGGGGCGGCGTCTCGGAGTTGTGGCGTCTGCCACGGCTGGCGACGGCGGAGGTCGACGGCAGGAGCAGGAAGGCGGGCAGGGTGGATGATGGGCGGGGGTGGCGGAAAAGTGGGAAAGGTCGGGGGGTGGAGGAGGGGGCAGGGGTTTGTGGAGGGGGGTGGGTAGCAGGGGCGGGGGATGATCGGGGAGAACAGGGGGGCGGGGGACGGCAGGGATGGGGGGATATGGGGGGAAACATACAAGGGATAAGTGGGGGGCGAATGATGACGGAGGAGGGGGGGGAGAGGTGGAAGGATGGAGGAGGGCCATGAGAACGGGGGAGGCGGGAGGAGGAAACAGATGAGGAGGGGGAAGGGTTGGAGGAACACGCACGTAAAACAATACAAGTCGTTCGTGTCATTTTCTCTGCCTCCATTCGCTGCGAGGCGAGCCCACGCGCGCGTTTCCGCGCGTTTGGCTCAAGTCTCTCGCGCGCCTCTTGTCTTGCGCGTGTCCCAAACGACCCTTACATCTATTTAACGGAACAGTGTAGCCATGTCACAAACCCCTGGCGCGAAGTGAACATCCGTCAACAATCTCCTGGAAACAGGGAGCCCCTAAGCTAGGATATCAACGTAGGAGCCATGCTCGAATGAAAGAACCTTCGGGCCATATGGCATATCAGTGGTTATATCCGAGATGGTGACGGAATTGATCGAGCGCCATGAAGAGAGCCATGACGGCGAACACGGATTCAACAAGTTCTAGTTTGAGTTCCCTCATCCAGGAATCGATGTGGTTCGTTCTTGCCGTCAGAGTCGGATTCGTACAAAACGATTACGAGGGCGGCGTCAGGAGAAAAAGTTTGGCGACCCCCCCGACCTGAGGAGGGGAGAAGCAGCCCAACCGAACATATGTCAGTTTAGTTGTCGGGGCGACCAGCCTCGACTGGTGATGAATGTCATGCACTATCTCAGCCCACGATCCATGCGCATGGGACGCATCGAACTGGGAATATGTACGTCGACGGCGGGGCGATCGAAACCACTGGCATCGACGTCTCGGACAACGAATGGGAATCTGCAGAATATATACTGCCGCCGTTCGCTTCGGAAGCGGCACCAGAGTCATTCGAGACAGCCCGGAGAGGACACAGTGGAACATCGCCAGCAACGCAGGGAACCAGTCCACCAGAGATGACACCGAAGAAGAAGAAGAAGCCAGTGTTCCTTGGCGCGGTGAGATATAGTTCCCCATCGAAAGTCATCTCCAACGCGTCAAAGAGAGCCCGCGAGGAATACCGAAAGGACGATGGGCCGACGGGTGGTAAGAGGCACCGCCCTGTAGCATCGCGCTATCCGGCGCCTGTTGCTCAAGTCTCCGACGACAGCGGAGATAAATCGATGCATGATAGCTTTGGGGCGCGCCTTGGCCCTAGTGACTGCCCCTGGCCTATCGTTTCCGCCTACCAGACCATGCCCATCCGCCCCCATGTTTCCTTGGGCACCGACGGTGGAACGGAGGACACGAGGTGAACGATCGTCTCGCCCCCGTTGCGGCGAGGAGCAGAAGGCAGAGATCCCCCAGCTTGGCGAACCGATTTATTATCTCGTCAATCAGCACAATCTCGACGATCGAAAGGTGCTGGGCGCCGACCTCTGAGTGCGCCGCGAATGAGGAGAACCGCCGTCCGGGCCGATCGGGCTGATGCCAAATTTCGTATGTGATGCATCTTCGCAGGTCCGTGAGCACTGCAGCGTCAATCATCTTTGCACAGAATGTTTCCCGCAAGGACAGCGTGATTGCCGTGGCCTCAGACCGGCCGAGCTAGAGGCCGCGCGCCAGGCCGTCGTTGATCCTGAAGAGACAAAGCTGGCGACAGAGGGCCGCAAGGGGTGCTTTCCCACCGAAGAAGCCGAGAAGAGTCGGATAATGTTGAGAACGCCAGAGACTGAAGAAATGGCTTGGGTCGGCAAAGAAGCCAACGTGGGGGGCCATGAAGCAGAAATGGCCGCGGCACGCGTGAAGGCTGAAATGGAAAATCATGTCCAGAAGGTGTCCCGCGCCCAAGAGGCCGAGACGGTGGCCTTGAAATCCGACCGCGACGAACAGGCGAGGCGCGGGCAAAGTGCAGCGCAAGCGCTGAGGGCCGGCCTGCTTCGAGCCGAGAGGGGGGCGACCGCCGCGCGTGCGTCGGCGACCGCTGCCCTCGTTTGGCAACCGACCGAAGCAACGGCAATTGCTGGTGGTGGTGTGCGAGATGGCAGCGCACTGGCGGTCTGGTGCTGCATGTGTGACTTTTCGGAGGACCGCCGACCTTCGTCGATTGCCGTGATCCCTGATGCAAGGACCGTTGCGACAGCGGGCCAAGCCTGCGCCAGAGGTGTCGCGGAAAAAAAGTCACAGGCAGCGGGGGCGGCGGAAATTCGAGAACCATGCGCGACTGCAGGCAAAAAGGCAGACGCAAAGACGAGAAGGTCATACAGACAGGGTCGACGTGCTGCAGCTCGCCCACTGCGAAGCGACTGCGAACGCCGAAGCTCGGGCTCATAGGGCGCAAGAGGCGAGCGCCAGGGCCGCGGGATGTGGAGAACGTCCTCACGCTGAGATGATCGAGAGGAGCGAGAAATTGAAATTGGGCGCTCATTTTCGTAAGGCCGAGGAGCGGGGTGCAGAATTTCAGCGGAAATCAGATCGGTTACATAACAAGCCATACGATGGGACGATATAGCCGAAGCCGCCGGCTATTGAGGCGATTCAACTTGATCTTTTATTGCAGGGCGAGTTCAAGGAACCACCAGGATTCTACGTGGAGAAGAGCGTGTTTCTTTATTGTTTGGGCCGTGGCGCGCGTTCTGCCTTCTCGGCCCTCTCCATATATTCGTAACACTCCGGCCCACAGTGCGCCCCCCGCACTGCCGCCGTGCGCGTAGGGATCCGCATGGGAATCCGAATTGGGATCCGCGTAGGCATCCGCGCAGAAATCCGCGTAGGGGTCCGCATGTGGATCGCATGGAGATGTCCATCGGTATCCGCATAGGGATCCGCATTGGGTTTCCCACGTACCCTTATAGAGATCCGCGTAGTGATCTGTCCAGGGATCCGCATAGGTCTGCGCGTGGAGATCCGCATAGGGGCGGCGGTCGCGGGCAAGTTGCGGTGCTCTCAGGCACTTGTGGTGTTCGTAGGAGAGAGACAAATCGGAGGAGACGGACGACGACGACGATGATCACGACAACACGGATGGAGGAGGAAGGTAAGTGCTTGCCACAGCTCCTCGTCGCTCTTCGTTGTCAGTCGTCGTAGTTATCGTCGTCGCTCTTCGTTGTCGGTCGTCGTCGTCGTCGTCCTCATCGTCGCTCGTCGTCGTCGTCGTGGTCATCGTCGTCCGTATCTTTGTCGTCGTCGTCGTCGTTGTCGTCGGTCGTCATCGCTCGCGGTCGCCCGTCGCTATCAAGCACATTCGAAGCTTTCGAGGGTCACTGGAGGCCTTCGGATGTCTTCCGGAGACCTCAGGAAGCGTCGTTCGTCGTCGTCGCCGTCGTCGTCGTCGTCATCGTCGTCGTCGTGGTCGCTCGTCGCCGTCGTCGCAGTCGTCGTCGACGTCGTCGTTGTGGTCGCTTGTCGCCGTTGTCGTCGTCGTCGTCGTCAGCGTCGTCGTCGTGGTCGCTCGTCGTCGTCGTCGTCGTCGTCGTGGTCGCTCGTCGTCGTCGTCGTGGTCGCTCGTCGGTCGTCGTCGTCGTCGTCGTCGTCGTCGTCGTCGTCGTCGTCGTCGTCGTCCTCGTCGCCCTCGTCGCTCGTCGCTCGTCGTCATCGTCGTCGTGCGCGCGGACGCTGCGGCGGCGCCGGAAACGCACGGCGGGGGGGGGGCGTTACGTTCTACTCCCCCCATCGCGCCCGTCATCGCCGCGAATAAAGAAACGCGCTTCGATCATCATTCCGTAGGGCCGGCCCGCGACCCACCCGCGACCCGCCCGCGACCCACGCGCGGCGGCAACGGCAGCGGCAGGCAGACGGCGGCACCGGTGGTGGCACGGCAGCGGCGGCGGCGGTGCAGCGGCAGGTGTCCCGGTGGCGTGGCGCTCGTGCTGCCCCGGCGGGTGCCACCCGGGCGTGATTGGAAGGAGTTTGCTTGCTTCCCCGTTGCTTCGCCTTTCTGTTGAAATGTGTGGAGGAGTTGCTCTGTAGCGGCACGTGCACGAATTTTCCCATGCAAGTTGCCTCGGAGAGGATTCGAATGACCTCAGGGATGGCATTGGTTTCCCGTGGGGCCCTCGGATGTCTTCGGATATGGCGCGGATGGCAAGGCAACGGTGCTCAGAAAGAGCCCCATGCATTCAATTGGAGAGGCCTGACGGCCGGTGCCGCCGACCCTGATCGAAAGGGCTAGGAGTGGGGGGAGGAAGCGGAGGATGAGGAGGAGGAGGAGGAGGAGGAGGAGGAGAAGGAAAAGGAGGAGGAGGAGCTCGAGCAGGAGGAGGAGGAGGAGGATGACGAGGAGGAGGAGGAGAAGGAGGAGGAGGAGGAGGAGGAGAAGGAAAAGGAGGAGGAGGAGGAGGAGGAGGAGGAGGAGGAAGTGCATCCTTTGTGTGCCCGCTCGAAGAAAGTGCGCCCCGGGAGTGTGATATTCTGACTTGGGACGTGCTCCCGGAAGAGGAAGAAGTGCATCTCGGGCGTGCCCGCTCGAGGAAAATGCGCCCTAGGGGGGTGGTATTTTGACTCGGGGCCCGCTCCCGGGACGCCTCTGCGGGAGGAGGAGGAGAGGAGGAGGAGGAGGGAGGAGGAGGAGGGAGGAGGAAGGAGGAGAGGAGCAGGAGGAGGAGGAGGAGGAAGGAGGAGGAGGAGGAGGAGGACCAGGAGGAGGAGGAAGTGCATCCCGTGCGTGCCCGCTCGAGGAAAGTGCGCCCCGGCGGGCGTCGTTTCTGCCCCGGCCCCCCCACCCCCCCCCTGCGGGGAAGGGATCAAAGGGAAGGGGCTTCCCTTCGACTCCACTACGACGTCGTTTAATTTCGCTTCGGATAGCGCGCTTGAGGAGGAGAGCCCTGGGAGGGGGAGAACGGAGACGACGGAGACGACGAGTCGAACGGAGAAGCCCCTCACACACGCCGACAGGGTCGGCGGATATTCCGAAAGGCTTGCACCAGTCCGCCGGCCCCCGGGAGAGCACATGTGAGGATTATGTTGTCGTGTGTGTTGATTGCTGCTTCCCGTTGTGATCATTTTTTCCTTCTGGGTTGTTGCGGGTTTTGTCGGAACCCTCGTGCACGGGGGCCCCCGCGGGCCGGAAAGCCAGGAGGAGAATGGGGAAGGAGAAAGGGGAGGAGGAGGAGGAGGAGGAGGCTGAGGAGGAGGAGGAGGAGAAGGAGGAGGGTCTCTGTCCTCCTCGGGGTTTCTTTGAAGCGGTGCGCCCGATGTCGGCAGCGTTCTCTTCGACCGCGCCGCCGCCATCATATCAGCCGCCCGCCGCCGCCACGAGGAGCGGGCCGCGGAGTACGTGGGCTGGTGCCCTGGCCTCGGCCCGGCCAGAGTCAGCGTGTCTCGCGTCTTCGAGTAGAGCCTTTGGGCCGCCCCGTCGGGTTCTGGGTCCTCCAGGAGGACCGTTCAGCAGCAGAGGAGCAGGAGGAGGAGGACCAGGCTCGTCTGACCTTCAGACGTGACAGCAGGGATTCGGCGTTTTGCCTCGTACCTCCTAAATCCTAGGACCTCACAGTTTCTGACCTCCTCGTCGTCCTCCTTTTCCTCCTCTTTCTCCTCTTTCTTCTCCTCCTCCTCCTCTTCTTTCTCATCCTCCTCCTCCTTCCTTCCCTTCCTTCCTTCCTTCCTTCCTTCCTTCCTTCCCTCCAAACAGTATCCAGGATGGATGGCGGCCTGTTTTCAAAGATGGAGTCTCGCATTGGTGCCACGCATTTTTTTGTAGTTTGCAACTGTCGCAAGAATTGAGGGCGGTTCGTTTTCAACATGGGGCTCTCGCTTTAGCGCTGGGCGCATTCGTCTGACACGCTTGCAGACTTCTCTGAACTGAACAACCTGGAGCTTGAACGTATGTAACAGCTGCACGGATGGAGGGTGGTTGTTGTTCGAACTGGAGCTTTCATGGCAGATTGCCTCGAAAACCATGGCCAGAAAGGAAACTTCCTTCGACGGTTCAGCAAATCGGGACACGTCTTCAAGACGGGGATCTCGCTGGACGCCTCGCTGCACTGCGTGATCATGCGTGTTCCTATTACCCGCCAGAAGGATGGCAGGCCCTATTCCAGACGAGGCTCTCGCTTCCATGGCTGGGCCACGGGGTGCTGGTCTTTGAAGGGAGCGCTTCTTGTGGTGTCACGCCAGGCTTCTACGCTACGAGGAGGGGACTTGGGACGGGAGGGTGTATGGCAGCATAGTTGTTACAGCTTGGGAACAGTGTAGTCCTCCTCCTCCTCCTATCCTTCGTTCCTTCTTCTTAGACTCCTCCTTTCCCCGCTCCTCTTCATCCCTCTTCCGTCCCTACCTCCTCCTCCTCCTCCTCTTGCTTCATATATCCTTCCTCTGGGATATCTCCTCCATCTCGCCTCCCTTCTTCCTCCTGTGATCCTACCTCCTCTCTGTCCCTTTTCTCCGCTCGCTTCCCCTTCCCCCCTTTCCACCTTCGCCTCCTTGGGTCGTTCAAGTCATCACTCGTCTTCCCGGTCTCCGGACTCCTTTCACAGCTTGTTTGCAAGGGCCCTATACATCGTTTCTCAGAATTTGTGTGCGCGCTTTTCCAGATACGGAGTCGGTGATTCGTTCCCTGTGGTCTCCTGTATGGTCTCTCGAATGGTTTCCCTCTGGTCTCCCCGTATGGTCTCCCCCATGATTCTTTCGTCAGGTCTTCCGTATAATCTCCCGAATGGTATCCCGCACGGTTTCCCGTGTATGCCCGTGTACGGTTTCCTGTATAGTATTGGATGATGCCCCCGTTATTATTTGATTGTGTTGTTCAGGGTCTTCTGCCGCCAGTATGTAATTCTGTTCTTGAGGCCGACACCCCTGGCGCGTGGGGGCCGTAGGGCAGCATATCCTCCCCCAACTCCGCCATTCACAACCCCTCTTCCTCCCGTATCTATTGTTGTGTTTTCCCTTGTGCTGCAGTGGGCCGCAAGGGTCGAAATATTGGTTCAACGGTCCCGCACCTGCCCCAGCAGGTCTCACCGTGCAGTTCCAGGAGAGAATGCTCGCAGCCGCACCTGTGTCAATCATTACTCCGCCTTTGTCGATCATGGGCGCGGCGACCGCATCAGCTCTATGGAAGCCTCCCCCAGTAAACGGGTGCGGCGAATTGAAGAACGGCAGCGTCATCAGTGCGGCCAGGGGGGGGCTGAAGATGGTTCGAGGGATCCTCGACGTCGTCTCCTTCTCCTCATCCCTTCCCTCGTCGTTCTCTTTTCCTGCGCTCTCCTCCCTCCTCCTTTTCCTCGTTTCCTGGGTGCATCGTGGCTTCATCACCGATCCCTCCACTGAGCATGGGCCTTGCATATTGTGCACTCGAGCAATCAGAGGATCTTTCTACCGCCAGCGTCTGGCTCGGCTCCCTGCCGACTCGTACTCTCGATTCGCACCGCCTTCGAACGCCCCCCCTGTTTTTCGGCATTCTGCTGTCTCGTGCTCCTGGTGCGTGCCGCCGCGCCCCCTCCTTCTATTACCGCTGGAGTATGCTTTATATATGTGGCACACGCGTGCCCAGACTCATGCAAACCGCGCAGGGGTGTGAAAGCAATGAACTTGGCATTTCGTTCGGAAGATTGGGCACTCGACCTAGGGCGTGCAACACCATTCAGTCACTAGCGTATTTGTGAAGGAAGTGAGCGACAGTGTTGAACAAGCATGCCTGAACTCCAATATGCTCATGACTGTGTTAAACAGTTGCGGGTTGCGGTTAACAACAGCGTAGGCGGCGTAGACAATTGCAATGATCAAGTAAGTATGTGCGACACCGTTGGCAACAAACATTTCAGTGACAAAGCAGTGTGTTTTTTCTTGTATACCGACCGGCAACAATGTATCGCCACGGTGTTTTTTGCACCATATCGTCGCGATTTGTGTGGGCGGCGTCCGATGTTCAGAATGTTGAAGACCAAGAGAAGCGGCCATTCAACCATGGACGATGGTATCAATCATCGGATCTGAGTTTTGCTTCCTCGCAGAGGAGCGCATGCACATCTCGAAATACACGGCCTCGGTTGCCGTGCGCGTGGACTTTGAGGAAGCGGTGGGTATTCTAATATCGGGCCACCTTGGCGGGAGGGGGAAATACGCACGTTCGAGGTTCTTGGAGGTATCTGGAGGTGCAGGCCACCTCGATCCCCGATCCTCGATCATCCGACCCCTCTTTCAAGGGACCCTCTTCGTCTCACTCCCTGGAGATTTTGCGTTGCGCTCCGCGTGGAGCCCGAGGTGCAGGAGTCGGGTTATGTCTCTTCAGCTCCGCGTATTCGTCGTCGACGTCTTATTCAAGAGCCGTACGCCATGCCGCCGACCCCCAGAAGAAGGACGACGTCGACGACGTGTCAGGGACCTGTCACGATTCGTGCCGAGGCGCGTGCCATGGGGCGGCCAGAGGACGGCATGCCAACTGACGTTGCAAGGGGAGCACCACAGAACGGGTAGTGGAAACGCTTGGGGACGAGTCAGGACAAGCGGCAGAGGACGAGCCAGGGAACGTGCTACGCCGAGTGACGTGCTAAGGGACGTACCAAGGCACGTCATGCAAGACCGTTGCAACGGACGCGCCAGGGTACGCGCCAGCGCGCCAGGGGACGCCCCACGGACGGGCGGGGTTGGACTGGACACGTGAAGCCAAGCGTCTCGCTCGAGACATCCTCAACGCCTCCTCACGTTAGACATCTGTCTGGGCAGTCTGGACGCGTGACCACAAGCATTGCGTTCAAGACATCCCGCCCAAGTCCTCGTGTTCGACATCCGCCTGGTCAACCTGGGCAAGTAAAAACAAGCGCCTCGCTCAATACATCCTCAACACATCCTTATGCTCGGCATCCGCCTGGGCCACCTGGACATGTGAAAACAAGCGTCTCGCTCGAAACATCCTCAATACGATTTCATTTTAGACATCCGGCTTGGCGACCTGGACACATGAACATAAGCATCTCGCTCAACACATCCTCAACACATCATCATGCTAGACATCTGCCTGGGCGGCTTGGGCACGTAAGAATATGCGTTTCGCTCGAGACTTCCCCAACATATCCTAATGTTAGACATCTGCTTGGGCGACATGGACGCGTGAACACAAGCGTCTCGCTCGGGACATCCTCAACACCTCCTCATGCTAGACATCTGTGTTGGCAGCCTGGAGGCATGAACACACGTGTTTTGTTAAAGACATTCCGCCCAATTTTTCTGTCAGACATCCGCCTGGGCGACCTAGGCAAGTAAACACAAGCGTCTCGGTCAACACATCTTTAACACATCCTCATGCTAGACATCTGCCCGGGCGACCTGGACACGTGAAACCAAGCGTCTCGTTCGAGACATGCTCAACACAGCCTCATTTTAGGCGTCCGCCTGGGTGACCTGGGCACGTGAAAACAAGCGTCTTGCTCAACACATGCTGGACACCCGCTTGGGCGACCTGGGCACGTGAAAACAAGCGTCTCGCTCGAGACATCCTCAACAATTTCTGCAAAGCAAGCGTTTCGCTCGAGACATCGACAACATCACAATTCGCCGGCCCTACGCGACTCCGTTATTTCGGGCGTAGCCCAAATGTGTTCCTCGCGAGGTAAGCTGACTGAACAGATTGAAGTGAGCCGAACTGAACAGACTGGTCGCACCCCTTACGCGACGGTTTCATTCTCGGCCGCCAAGGGCGCAACATATGGCGCAACCGATAGGAGACGTTTTTTTGTTCGCGGCCGCCGAGGGCGTAACCTATGGCGCAACCGATGGGAGACGTTTTTCTGTTCTCGGCCGCCAAGGGTGCAACCTATGGCGCTACCGATCGGAGACGTTTTTGTTCCAACCATCTTTGGTTGGGTACTCGATTTGAATAGAGCACTGTGGTCGCGTCCCTCCTCCTCCTCCTCCTCCTCCTCCTCCTCCCGCCTCCCGCCTCCCTCTTGTCTCCTCTTGCATTGCGCGTACCTCGTGTGTGTGTGTGTGTGTGTGTGCATCCTGGCTGCGGTACCTCTTGTGTGTGCATCTTGTCAAGGGGCTGCGATCTGTGACGCGGTCGCCACTTTCGAGTGCTGCTGGTGGGTCCTGCGGGGTGAGGCACCGCGGGGATCTGAGCGAGACCTCGCCGTCCCTGGGGGGCTGCGATCTGCGGCACTGTCGCCACTTTCGAGGGCTGCTGGTTCGTCCTGCGGAGTGGGGCACCGCGGGGATCTGAGCGAGGCCTTGCCGTCCATTGTGGGCTGCGATCTGCGACGCTGTCGCCGCTTTCGAGGGCTGCTGGTGGGTCCTGCGGGGTGAGGCACCGCGGGGATCTGAGCGAGACCTCGCCGTCCCTGGGGGGCTGCGATCTGCGGCACTGTCGCCACTTTCGAGGGCTGCTGGTTCGTCCTGCGGAGTGGG